CAAACTTGGAAATAGTGCTCTCTATGCCCAAGTCCAGATCATTAATATATATTAGAAAGAGCAGTGGTCCCAATACCGATCCCTGGGGGACACCGCTGCACACCTCCTTCCATTTTGAGAAACACCCATTAACCACCACCCTCTGCATTCTGTCACTCAGCCAGTTCTGAATCCAAACTGCCACTGTCCCCTTAATACCGTGGGCCTCTAATTTTTTTATTGATCTCTTATGCGGTACTATGTCAAAAGCCTTTTTGAAATCCATGTAAATAACGTCCACCACATTTCCCTCATCAACCCTCGCAGTCACCTCTTCAAAAAATTCTATTAGATTTCTTAGGCAAGATTTGCCTTTAACAAATCCATGTTGGCTGTCTCTAATTACCTCATGTTCCTCTAAGTAGAGATTTATTCTGTCCCGCATTACGGTCTCCAGTAGTTTTCCTATTACCGAAGTTAGGCTGACTGGCCTGTAATTTCCGGGCTTATCTTTCTGTCCCTTTTTGTAGAGTGGGGTAACATTAGCCACTCTCCAGTCTCTTGGCACCACTCCTGTGTCCAATGACGATTGAAATATAATGGCCAAAGCCTCCGCTATTTGAACCCGTATCTCCCACCGCAACTTTGGGTGAAACCCATCTGGTTCTGGTGACTTATCAATTTTGAGCCCAGTCAATCTTTTCAGAACTTCCTCTCTGTCTATAGTAATCTGATCTATGTCCTCTACCCTGTCATCCAATACTGTGGCATTTGGGGCTTCCGTTTCCGTTGTGAAGACAGATGCAAAGTACTCGTTCAGTACATCAGCCACGCCCTCTGCCTCCACAACAAGATGGCTGTCATTGTCTTTGATTGGCCCCACCTTACCTTTAACTAACCTTTTTTCTTTTATGTGCTTGTAAAATATTTTAGGATTCCCCTTTATGTTACCCGCTAACCTCTTCTCATGCGATCTTTTAGCCTGTCTTATCACTCTTTTAAGATCACTCCTGCATTCTCTATAATGCGCTTTGCTATCCTCAGTGTCTTGCATCCGCCAATTGTCGTAAGCCGTCTTCTTCTTTTTCATCCTAGACAGAATATCCCTGGTCATCCAAGCAGGCTTGGTTCTCGCACATTTCCCTTTTGTGGGAATATATCTATTTAGACCCTGAGCTATCGTATCTTTGAAGATTTCCCATTGCTCATGAGTCGTTTTACCTGCCATTCTTACTTGCCAGTCCACCAACTCTAGGTCCCTCTTTTGCCCATCAAAATTAGGTCTTTTCCAGTCAAGCATTTTCACCCTTGACTGTACTTTGTCCTTCTTCATGAGTAATCTAAATCTAATAATATTATGGTCACTGTTACCTTGATGCTCCCCTACAGAAACTTGTTCAACCTGACCTACTTCATTCCGTAGGACAAGATCCAGCAATGCTTCCTTCCTTGTAGGACTGGAGATACTGCTCAAGAAAATTTTCCTGTCCACAGTTGATGAATCTTTCTCCTGCCTTGCCCTTAGGGCTGCTATTTTGCCAGTCTATATTGGGATAATTGAAATCCCCCATTATGACATCTCTGTTCGCCCTACATCTATCCGTGATCTGGTTGCAGATCTGCTCCTCTATCTCCTTCCCGCCATCTGGTGGTCTATAGTAAACCCCTATCAGTGTAACCACTCCTTTCCTATTTCTGACCTCTAACCAGATGGATTCTGTTGTCGGGCCCTCTAGAGTCTCGTCCCTTTCTACAGCTACAATTGTATCCTTAACTAATATTGCCACCACTCCTCCTTTTCTTCCTTCTCTATCCTTCCTGAACACATTATATCCTGGAATATTTATCTCCCATTCCTGTCCTGGCTTGAGCCATGTCTCGGTTACTGCCACCACATCATAACCCCCTATGGCCAGTTGAACCTGCAGCTCATCAACCTTATTCCCTGAGCTACGTGCATTTAGGTACATACATTTGAGGAAATTGTCTATATTTCCCACTTGTCTTTTTCCTCTACTCCCTAATCTATTGTTTATTTTGGGATATCCATCCCCCCTCGTCACTAGTTTAAATTAGCCCCCTCCCCAGCATTCGATAATCTCTTGGCCAGGAAGCTCACCCCTGCCTTGCTTAAGTGCCGCCCATCTGCAAGGTAATGATCCCACCTCCCCCAGTAGTGGTCCCAATTGTCCACAAAACGGAAACCTTCTTTTCTGGACCATTTTTCCAGCCAATCGTTCATATCTAAGATCCTTTCATTATGGTGCCCCGTTGCCTGAGGCACCGGGAGTAACCCAGACATCACCACCTTGGATGTTCTGGCTTTGAGTTTGTTCCCCAACTTATACACTATATTGAGCCATTGGACATGAGAAGGTAGTGCCTTGGTATGGTAGGCGCCTTGGTATGTTCTCATGACATGAAAGGTGCTATACAAATTTAATTTTGTTGTTGTAATCTGATACTCCAGTGCACGACTGGGGAGAGCATTGTATTGTTGAAGGTGCCACTATACAAACGAATCTTGTCGGCCTATTCTGGGCTGCCAGGATTTTCCCTGATGTCCTGACCAACAATCCCCCAAATAAAATTGGTCACTCACTTCTTGGCTATTTGCAGGACACTGGCCATGCGCAAATCACTCTGTGAGCTGGTAATGTGCCGAATGGATTCCATCCAACTGCAGATTTCTATGTTTCTAAATTGGCTGTTGCGTTGTCCATAGAACACACAGTTATACCTCTTTACTGTGAAGTGCCTTAAGACTTCCTCCTGACATGAAAGGCACTATACCCAATGCAAGGATTATTATTATTGTGCTGGCTTCGATATTAGATTGTTTTTAAGCGCACTGAGACGCTGTCCTGCGTGGAGGGCGCTATATAAGTGTAAGTTGTTGTTATTTAGAAGATTCCTGTAGGAACAGAAATTCCTGGAGATTCCTGGAGGAATCTTTGCCTAACAATTAGCTCCTGTGTCATGATTGCATTTTGCTGCAAAAAATCTTCCATCCCATTTTCCAAGGGTGACATTGATTGTTCCTGTTAGATTAAACTCGATTTAAAAATGGTTATTTAGATACAATGGGAATAAATTTCAGCAATAGTTATCCTGAAAAATGATAATCTTCAATACTCCGGGATCTGACTGGCACAGAGCCGTAATGGGCACACTGGGTTTTCAAGCTGTTAGTACAAGCTCACATGACCATGCTATTAGGAGATTCTTTGGTCCGAATTCACAAGAGCCACCAGCTGAGGAAACCCAACCCAGCGTTGACTCATGTCAGCTGTCCTTAACCATTCCAACAAGCAGTGTGCTCCCTGCATAGACATTATTGGAGAAAGCTGGAACATTGTCATTAAAGGCTTTTACTTTTAAAGGCTGCTTTCACAGAATATTAGCGCTGTGTGCAATGAAGCATGCCTCAATTATTGGCCTTTTCTTGTCTCAATCCTGCGTGCAGTCCAGATAATAAGTCTGTGTTGACAGTGGGACTGACTCGATGCCCAGTTAGTTATGGTAAATCCTTCAAATGATCACCCACGTTTCATTCTTTTACAACTGCTCACTGAGTTTCTGTATATTTTTCAGTCATTTTTGGAGTTTGTTTAAAAGCGGGATAAACTTCACACTGACGGACGATATATCATGCTGAGGACAGTGTCCAGCGACATGGCCAGTCTGCGGTTTGCGAATCAATCGCAACTCGGATGAAAATGCAACCTTCGTAAATCAAATGCAAGTCTCTGATTGCAGCTTCCCATTTGCAATTACATACATTACGGATGGGTACGGACTGTGGGTGATCTGGAAAACACGGTGAAGAGCTTTGAGACATTTCGACAATGTCGTAAGTTGCTATTTTGGTGATGTGGCATAATAACAACAACTTGGATTCATATAGTGCCCTTCACGCCGGACGGCGTCTCAGCTTCACAGCAACGGATCCCAGGACTGAGCCAGGGGGAAGGGTGGGGAAGGTGACCAAAGGCGGGGTTGAAAAGAAAGGTCTTCAGCTGAGACCTGAAAATGGGAAGGGAGGGAGTGAGGTGAAAGTAGTGAGGAAGGGAGTTCTAAAGCCTCGGGGCATAGTGGCTGAAGGCACGGCCGCCGAGGGTGGAGCGGAGGACTCGGGGTACAAGGAGGAGGCCAGACCTGGAGAAGCAAATGCAACGGGTACTGTTTTGAGGAGAGAGGAGGTCAGAGAGGTCGGGAGGTGCAGAGGAGTGCAGGGACCTGAATACAAGGGTGAGGATCTTGAAATCGATCCTCTCGGATAGGCAGCAGTGCAGTCGGCAAGGACTGGGGTGATCGGGGAACGGAGTTTCGTGCGGGTGAGAATGCGGGCGGCAGAGTTTTGAATACAATGCAATACCATAATACAATGCAAATTTACGTTTATCTTATATCTTTAAGTCGGGACGATGTCCCAAAGTTTATACATATATAATCCTTAAAATTGGGAAATCCTCTTGACATGAAAGGCATTATACCAGTTGGATAGCTGGACAGAAGCCCGAATGTTAGAAATTATCAATCAATGCCCTGCTCTAAAATAAAGTTGTTTTTTATGCCAAAGAAGACTGGAAAAAAATTGTAATGGTAATCAACAGGTTGGAAGCAGATGAAGAAAGTGCAGACGCTCAGCTCGTCTCTAATTACTCCCTCCTCCCTCGGTTGCTCTTATTAACTTAACAAGTGAGGAATCTTGAAGAACGTTCAAACCTGGGGTAAATTACAAATAGCAGCTGGTCTTAAATCCCTGAGATTCAGTGAGGTTATGTCCCTTTAAGAACACTGGCAGCCCAGCTAGCTCTCATTTCCTCTAACTGCACAAAGTTACACTGCAGAATTGGCCATATATCTGCTTAAACAACAACAAATTACATTTGCACAGCACCTTTCATGTCGGGAGAGCGTCCCAAGGCACTGAAATGCTTATACTCTGGTTGCACACATCGGCAGTCCTGTATCAGCTCAGTGGCTGTTGTAGTCTTGTGATCATGTTTGCGTTAAAAAAAGAATTGCGTGGACACATGGCTTAAACCTTAACTTCATCTGGCCCCAAGGGCAGATCTCGGCTAAATATATTCACTCCACTTTAACACTGATCAAACGTTGAAGGTCCATCATGTCTAGAGACACGTTTGTTTTTACTTCTTCCACACTCCGGTCATTGAGGTTGCAGAGGGAGCTGCTGGATATAGAGGAGCAGAGGAGAGATCTGTACAGACACCCTGCAACCAGGCTGATCAGAGGTGTCAGCCAGAGATTCTGGGAACCCAGGGCGCCACCACAAATCTGCAGAGATGTTGCTGTCCACAATGCTCTGTTCAGTGGGGACTTGGACAAGATCAGAAGCATCTTTAAGAACAAGGAGTCCGTCAACGCAATTATAGAGACCGTCAGTCACGAACTGTGCTGGTCGTCGGAGTTGGGTAGGAATATCTTTTCTTGCGCAGTGTTAGGTCGGTTTGAGGTCGTTTCATATCTGCTATGTCACGTGCGAGTTTGGAATGTGCGACCCCAGTCTTGTAGGTAACGTGACAGCATTGCTGTGAGCGCAGGGAAACACTGATAATCTTTTAAAAAGAACTTTTCAAAGTGAAACACAAAAGGCAGCAATAGATTAAGCCAAGCGTTTAAAGCTTAAGTTTTGGCCAACCCCTGGCCCACGGACCAGAAGTGGCCGACTGGACTGTTAAGAAGTGGCCCGGCAAACATTGGCATTAGTCCAGGTGAGTCCATTTAAAGGCGTATTGAATAACAATGACGACAAGAAAATTATGTTTGTTTAGCAGCTTTCACGTCGCGAGGACGTATATTCAAGGTGAAACAATATGAAAAATGGCACAAGTTAGTGGCATATAGTAAGGATCCCTTCACACCCAGCTTTCTATTGTTTACAGTGTTTACAGTGCTTTATCAAAGCTGTCTTTTATCTGCAACTTTCACCTTATTGCTGAAATCCCACTAATGTGAAATATTACTGTTTTTACAATTCAAGTATAGCTTTATCCTGTGGAGGGGCGNTTTTTTAATCAAAGACACGCAAACAGTTGGCTGACGCATTTTGCCCACAAAATATACAGTCAAGTCACTTTACAGTAGATTCTGTGAAGCACTTTGAGACATCACAATGATATGATAAGGTGCTATATCAAATACAAGGATTATTATTATTCAACAAAATCTTTTCAGGCTGCAGCAGTCACAAGTGACAATTTCTGCTTAGGTACAGCAGTTTGAGACTTCACCACATAGACTTTAAAGCACTTTAGATGGCGTCAGTTCACATTACAGTATATATATCCTGTGAAGTGCTTTGAGACATCTCAATGACATGATGAAGCGCTGTATCAAATGCAAGGATTATTATTATGGAGATAAAATTTGTGATTATTAAAACTTGTTAGTCTAATCTATATGCACTGTCAGTAACACAAAGCATGCTTTCAAACGTTTACAAAGCAAAGCTTTACCCATGGTCTGCTGTTATATGTTATATCATTATACCCTGTGGAGTCCTGTAGCTTAGTGGTTAGAGCACTCTGTTTGCCTGGGTTCGATTCCCAGGCAGGGAGAAACATTGGGCAAGTTTCCTTACCCCACACGCCTGTTTACCTTGCAGTAAATAGGAACCCAGTTGTTAGTCGATCAGTGGATCTCCGTTCCGCGGATAATAATCCCATCAAGAAAAAAATAATAATAATTTGGTCACTTAATCCACGGCTGTTTGTGGAACGCTGCTGTGCGCAATTGGCTGCCGCGTTTCGCTCACAAATATACAGTCAATTCACTTTACAGTCTTCTGTGAAGCGCTTTGAAACATCTCAACAACGTGATAAGGCGCTGTTTCAAATTCAAAGATTATTTTCATTATTATTATATTGTAGGTCTCTGGTCGCTGTCCTCTAAACAGAAGCAGACGACTGCGTTGTGCATTACAGCAGAGAGAGGCTACACAGCGTGTTTGAAGCACCTGCTGGGATACGGTGCTGATGTCAACGCTTCCTACGGAGGCACAACTGCCTTGCACAAAGCCTGTGCCAATGGGAACCACGAATGCGTGCTGCTTCTGCTTAGCATTGGCTCTGACGCTAACGCATTCTCCGAAGAAGGTTTTGCTCCTCTGCACCTGTGCACCAGTCCGAAGACCTTACGGTAAGTGAACCGATGCTTCAATGTAAATGCTTGTGTTGCATGCAATCTATTTCGCCCACAAACCATACAGCCGTTACACCTTACAAGGTATCTATCCTCTTGCAGTGGATGTCTCGAAGACATGATAAGGCGCTATGTCAAATGCAAGGATTGTTAGAGCAGTATAGAGCCTGCGCTTATGCTGAAAACCGTGAATCACACACACCACTGATTTCAACCTTTGCCCTCAACAAAGACAAGCCTGAAAGGAGGAGGTATTTCAGACCTTTGATCTTTTAGTTGTATAGATGTACATCTACATGTACATGAAAGGCGCTGCATAAATCAGGTTGTTGTAATTAAAAAAATTACTAAACGAACCAGTGGTAAATGTTGAAGGGATTTCGCTGCACATTGTGTTACACTCGGGAAGCTCTTATTGTTTGCTTGGACCATCGAGACTATAATTAATTTCAAGCAATCTAAAAATATCCGCAGTATATTTGGGGTGAGAATATTTGTGTCACCAAGAGGATGAATGTCTCACTTGATCTGAGAGGATTCGTCACGAAATAATATCTGGTCCCCGATTTGTGACCAGCTAATTGTCTGTGATTCCATCCCTACAACTCACTCCCTCATGAACAACAAAAACACCTTGCAGCTATATAGCGCCACTCAGGCAAGGTAGTGTCCCAGAGCGCTTGACAGTGGCGGAGCACGATGCTAAATCTGACGGAGGAGGATGATCTTCAGGTGTGACCTGAAGGGGAAGGAAGGGAGCAAGGTGGAGGGATAGAGGAAGAGTGTTCCAGAGTTTCGGGACATAGTGGTTGATTCACCTCATTCAAGGTCCGTCTCAAGACTTACCTCTTTGATAGTCTTTCCCCTTTCCAACTCGGGTGCGGAACCTGGACTATGAGTTGCCTTCGGATGGTCCTCCTGACGTGAAAGACGCTATGTGAATGTAAATGCATATTGTGTTGTGTGACTGTGTTTCAGATGTGCCAATCTCCTACTGGATCACGGTGCCCGGGTTAATATACTGACCCAAGATGGAGAGAATAGCCCATTGCACATTGCCGCAAAGCACGGCTTATGTGAGCACGTGGACCTGTACCTGAGCTACTGCGCGTACAACCACAAGAAGAACCGAGAGGGGGAGACCGCGCTGAATGCTGCCTGCGCTTACGCTGAAAACCGGGAAACGTTCGGAAGATATTTCAGGGTCTGCAAAATACTGATCGACTGCGGAGCCGAGGTGAAAACAGCCGGGAGAAAGAATCATACGCCTCTACATAACGCCTGCGGCAATGGGCATTACAGGATCGTGGATTTGTTACTGCAGCATGGAGCTTCTGTGAATGTCAGGAACTCTGCCAGCTACAGCCCCATGGACTGCATTTTGCAGGTTGTCGAAGATCACTTAGAGAACAGCCCAGAGCTCATTGTTCTGGCTCTGTTGAATCACGGAGCAGCAGTGATTCACCCTAAGGTAATTAATAATCCTTCCATTCGATACAGCTTCTTATCACGTCTTCAAGACATCTCACAGGACATACTGTAAATTGGATTGACTGTGCATCTTGTAAACGCGACAGACAGTGTCCCACAAACAGTCATGGAGTGAGGGAGCAATTTTATTTGGGGGATTTGTCAGTCAAGGACATTGGGAGAAAGAAACTCCCTTCTCTTTTCGAATAGCGCCACAGGATCTTTAATGTCCACCTGAACAGGCAGATGAGACCTCAGTTTAATGTCTAATCCGAAGGACGGCACCTCCTACAATGAAACACCTCTCCCAGCACTGCATTGGAGTGTCAGCTTAGACTGTGTGATTCCAACTCCCGATGTGGGTCTTGAACTCACAACCTACTGACTCAGAGGCAAGAGTCAGTGCTACTACTGAGCTAGGCTGACACACAAGCACCTCGCATTGTATATATGCCAAGATTATTGACATGACCAGAAGGAGGTAGGTCAAGGTGATATTCAACTACTTACAAGGCTGCAATGAGCAAACTAATTAAGACCTTTTGGAGCTCCCCTAGAGCAACACAGGGATAATTTGTCAAATGAGAGAATATCTTACAAGAAAGTGTTTCATTCACAATTCCTGTCTGGTTATTCCAAGGGTTTTTCATTTTTGTTTATGCAGTGTTGTCTTGAAACTGGAAACCAAACTGAAATATTTTAAGGTGATTTTGATCACCACAACTTTCTACAGGTTGAATGCTTGACCAACAATCACCCCTGGATAAAATTGGTCGTGCCTTGGGATGTCCTCCCAACGTGAAAGGCACTATACAAATGTAATTTTGTTGTTGTTGTTCACTTCATGGCTGTTCATGGGACGTCACTGGGCACAAATAGGCTGCTGCATTCGCCTACAAATACACAGTCACTCCACTTTACAGTGTATCTTGTGATACGCTGTGAGACATCCATGCAACGTGAAAATCACTCTACCAAATGTAAGGGCTAGTATTATTATTGATTTTCACCTTGGATTTGAGATGTCTCATAGACGTGATAAGGCGCAATATCAAGTGCAAGGATTATTATTATTTTATTATTAATAATCTGTAATTGGGGGTGTAATTGTTTCAAGATCTGTTAGATAAATCGTGGAACTCTTGGGGACCAGGTGTGTGGCAAATATAGAATATCTGGACTCTGACAGCTTCATGAAACTCACCTGAGAGATGTGCCAATGGCCTCTGAGGTACACACACAGTTTGACCCACGGAATTTGGTTTCAGTTTCTTACGTACTGAACTGTGGTGTAACCCCTTCCATAAATAACATTTCTGGCATGATTCTCCCTGGCCCATCTCTCACTTCCAAATCTGAATTTTCTCTGGCTTCCAACCCATTGCTCTGCCAATGACTCTATAGTTCTCCTCTTTGCCAACAATCTCTCCTGTTGTAGGCTCCTTGACAAGAACCGTCACATTATTGCAGAGATTGTTGCTCAGTGTTACTTAAACCCTGCACTTCCAATTGGTGGAATCAGGGATGTGTGTCCGAGCTTTGTGGGCAGGAGGATAGAGGCAATGCGTTTCATGCTGAGCTGTGCTCGTACCTGCTATCCACAAAGTCGAGGCTTATGCTTGTTGGATGTCAAATGCCCAACTGGTGACAATCCTCTGTAACTGAAGGCCACCATGATCTATACAGCAGCAAAGTGAGGGAAGGGAACTGTTAACTACTTTCGCCAATTTTCAGCCAACATCAGAACAATCAAAAATGTGTCATCCCTTGTGTTTCTTGATCAAGTCTTCTGCGTATATTGTATTAATTCAAGCGTGGCTGAGCATTAGCTGTTAAGAGCCAGCACGGGCAGGATGGGCCAAATGGCCTCCTTCTGTGCTGTAATATTCTACGATTCCATAAACAGTTTGCGGGAATGTATCTTTGCACCATTTGGTTTCCTTTACAGTTGCTCAAACTGTGTGCGATGTGTCCCCGGACAATGGAAGCCATTTTGAATAGCTACGAGTGGGTTCCTCTGTGTGACTCCTGGATTGACTCAGTTCCTCCGGATGTGTGGCAAGTATGTGACAAGTATGATACTATAGTGGGGGGAGATTTCTGTATGGTCTGTACAAAGCACTATGCGATACATGAGCACTACTAGTGGATAACCTCTATCATGGCCAACAATCTCCCAACCAAAATTGGTCACTTGTTGTTGTTGGTTGTATGCTGTGCGCAAATTGGCTGCCGTGTTCACTCACAAAAAAACACACGTCACTCCACTTTGCAGTATGTTCTGTGAAGCACTTTGAGACGTCTCGAAGACGTGATAAGGTGCTACACCAAACGCAAGGATTATTATTATTATATATATCCTGTGAAGCGCTTTGAGACCTCCCAACATGAAAGGCGCTATACCAGATTTAAGGATTATTATTATTATTAAGTGACACCAAAAATCCTAAGAACTAATCAATTCATGATCTATTCTTGGCTGGCGTTAAGAAATGCATTGCATAATGATAGACCACCAAGTCAGACTCAAAAGGGCTTTGTTAACAATTCAACATCCGTAGACTCAAGATATTGTGAGTGCGACAAACAAAATTCCATTTGCTCTTTTTCAGAGATCTGAGGATTTCTACAAGTCTGTTATAGGACTAACGAACAAACCTCGCAGCCTTCAGCATCTTGCACGGTTTGCAATAAGAAAATATCTTGGCATCCGATGTCATTCAACCATCCCACAACTGAAGATCCCAAGCAGTTTCAAGGAGTTTCTGCTGTTGAAAATTGAAGGTTACGTCAGATGAAAGAGAGAGAAGTTTCTCACAGGCATGATCTGAAGGATGAGTTGAGAGACTAGGGTCAAGTATGTTTTTTCAGTTTAGTCTAGTAATGAGTGAATTGAGGAAGAATAGTGGGTAGAAGTTGTCAGAATCCACAACTGTGCAGCGCTCCGGGATTCTATCCTGTGAAGGGCACTATATAATCCTCGCACTGGTGTTCAAATCCCTTCGCTCTCTGGCACTTCCCTACCTCTCTGACCTCCTCACTCCCCAATCCACCACCCGGCACTTCCTGCTTATCCTTCGCACCCTTCACCCCACCATCGGAGGTCGCACTTTCAGCCACTACGCCCCGAAACTCTGGAACACTCTTCCTCAATCCCTCCGCCTTGCCCCCTCTCTCCCCTTTTTCAAGTCCCGCCTGAAAACCTTCCTCTTCGACTGTCTTTCGGTCACCTCCCATCCCTCACTCCTTCCCCGGCTCGGAGTCAGTCTCCACCACTGTTAAGCGTTCTGAGACTCTACGCTGGGTGGAATTATATAAGTGCAAGTTGTTGTCTGCCTGTCTACCTGCCTGTCTGACATCGAGTCCTGGACGAGAGACAACTTTCTTCAGCTCAACGTGCGCAAAACTGAGGCCCTCCTGATTGGCTCACGTCAGCGCCTCCGCACCTCAGTCGCTGACAACATCAGCATCCAAGGCTGCACTCTCCACCTCTCAAAGCCAGTCAGGAACCTCGGGGTTCTGTTCGACCCTGAGCTGTCCTTTTTTCCTCATATCCGCGCCACAACTGGCACCGCCTTCCATCACCTCCGGAATATCGCCAGACTAAGGCACTACCTCACCCCTCACGCTGCTGAAACTCTGGTCCACGCCTTTATCACCTCAAGGCTGGACTATGGGAACTCTCTCCTCGCCGGCATTCCCGGCACCTCCCTCCACACTGCAGGTCATTCAGAACTCTGCAGCTCGTGTACTGTCCCGCACCAGGCTTCGGGACCACATCACTCCCACCCTCGCTCGCCTCCACTGGCTCCCCATCCCCCAGAGGATCGAATTCAAGATCCTCATCCTCACCTACAAGGCCATTCACGGCCTCGCTCCTCCTACCTCTCCGACCTACTATCCCCCTTCTTACCTGCCCGTACCCTCCGTTCCTCTGGCTCCGGTCTGACACACATCCCCCGCCCCAACCGCCCTACCATCGGTGGCCGGGCCTTCAGCCTCTCAGCCCCGAGGCTCTGGAACTCTATCCCCCAGTGCCTTCGCCGCTTCCTCCCTTTCCTCCTTCAACGCCGGTCTCAAGACCTTTCTCTTCGACCGTGCCTTCACCTCCCCTCTCGACTCTCTACCCCCTCCTCGCTCCCTCCCTTCTCTCCCCTCACCCTGACCATTTCCCCCCTGCTCGAGTCCTGACTCAACTGTCCCTTCGCCTTGGGACGTCCTCCCGAAGTGAAAGGCGCTCTATAAATGAAATCTTGTTGTTGTTGCTGTTGTGCATAGGGAGAATAAACTGTGCTGCTGTCTGAGTGATTCCCAGTGTTGACCAAACCTATACTCTTTAAGTGGGCCGAGATATGATATTGCCTTCTTTGGAAAAAGAAAGAAGTCTCGTTGACTCCATAATAAAAATGTAACATAGCAGTTGGCAGTACAAAGAGAGGAGTGGAATTTCTGGCCCCTTAACACCCAAAATCACTCAAGGTTCGGTTTGGTTGCAAATCCTGTAAGTGGTGCAAGAGGCACTGACAAAGCTGATGGCTTCATGGATTCAGAGAGAAAAGAGTTTCCATTAAAGTGAAGCCTGTGTTTGCATGTGTCTGCATGCATGCGCTACATTGAAGAAGTTTGCAATTGGCCTTCTCTCAGGGTGCTGCACTTCATAACTACTAACAGGCTGTAGAATTGCACAAGAGTCAAATGCAGTTTATTTCTTATCAAAAATGACAGCGACAGCTCCCAAACTTTTGACAACAACATGCATTTATATAGCGCCCCGGCATCTCGGAGCGCTTTAACCTAGCGGAGTAAATGCCACGGCTTCTCAGGCACCCGTGCCAGACAGTCAGCGCTATAACAGATCTAATCCAAATACTGCCACGTAAAGCGAACTGAGTGACTCAGTCACAATTCCAGTCATAGGGCTGAAATGATGGTTATCAACAGCATGAACTTCACTCAATTACTTTTGATAATATCTGAAGTCCAAGATTAATTAATCTGTCAGCCTGGCTCAGTTGGCTACACTCGAAGGGACAGTCTAGGCTTATGCTCTAGTGCAGTGCTGGGCAGGGATGTGGGGTGGGGGCTGGGGAGGGTAGGGCTGCCGCTATGCTTCGGATAAAGTGTTAAAAAACAAGGTTTCATCTGTCTGAGTTTCTACCAGCATCCTGGCTAACAATTCCCCAAAATAAAATTGCTCATTCACTTCATGGCTGTTTGTGGGACATTGCTGTATGCAGCAAATAAGCTGCCACATTTGCCTACAAATACACACTACAGTAATGTCCTGTGAAGCGCTTCGAGACTACTCGATGACATGATCAGGCACTTTATCAATTCAAGGATTATTAGTATCATAACCTTATTAGTTTGTGTGTCTAAACCATCTGAATACATCAGTGTGATCGCAGTCTGTAAATCATTGCAGAATATCCACTATTTCACATATCTGATTTATCCAGTTAGATTGGAGCTCATTACTTACTTATTCACTGCTCACTTACTCACTCCAGATATCCATTATATTCTGTGCATAATTGTTATATACATGAAGCACTTCAGTGTAATGATTATGACAGAGGACGTGTTGAGAATGAAGTAGCCTTCATAAATATTAAAACAAAACGCTTTAAATCTTACTCTTCTATTATTTTCTATAGAACTGTTTCCTAAACAGGGAGGAAAAATCATGTGTTCAATAGCCCATTTGGTTAGCTGTGGCCTTACTTGCCCCGAATTCAACACAATGTTTGATTTTTAGTGCCTCCGATCATGGATGTTGCAGATAAAGCATGCTGTAATGAATTCTGACAGTTCCACTGCATTATTCAAGATGGTCCTTCCTTAAAATAGCGATTTAGCGGGGATGTGAAATGTTTCTTTCTAGGACTATGGTAAATTCAATTCTGCCCTCTACTTTTACCTTCTTTATGGGGACATTTAAAAATCTTGGATATCGAAGATATTTAATACACACACGAGAGGGAAGGGAATAGAGTGGTAAGTGGGGAGGCTAGGGAGGGGGAGATTAGGAAGGGTGGAAGCTCATGTAAAGTATAAACACTGGCATGGTCTAGATGGGCTGAAATCATGGCCTGTTTCATTGCTGTATTTAAGCCCTCCAAGATGCTACCCTTGTGAAACACATAATATGCACAGTCACCCACAAAATACAGTCAATTAACTTTACAGTATATTCTGTGAAGCACTTTGAGACATCTCAAAGACATGACAAAGCATTATATCAAATGCAAGGATTATTATTATTAATATAAATACAAGTTCTTGTTTCTAATGTAATATATTTATAGAGCAGCCTTCACCCTTCATGCAAGATAGCGTCTCGGAGCTCTGTATCTTACTTATACAAGATGGAAGTAGCTCTGTAACATTTATTTTCCTACCCCAGGATGCGAATGCCACAAATAAAGATTTTTTTTCCATAAACGAAGAGTACGGTTTGCCAAAACACTATTTATATCAATAACATAAGGAGCACAAACAGAATTAGAGGTGAGGTCAGAAAAGAAAATCTTTACCCAGAGGAGACTGTGGAAATCTCTGCTAGTAAATGCTGTTAAAAGCAAAATAGATAGATGATTGGAGAGGAAGAATATTGATGCTTTGAGGAATCGGATAAGATCTGGTTGCTCTTATGGTGAAAGATGACCACAGGATTGATGGGCCAACTCACCTGTTTCTGTCCTATAACATTCTCCAATTTATTCTTCGACCATGTTCTCAAATCCATTCCTGCCCCAGCACCTCCCTACCTATCCGATTTGATTACCCCCCATACTCCCACCCGCTGCCTCTGCTCGGCTGGCTCTAGCCTCCTATTCGTCCCTCATTTCCTCCACTCCACCATCGGTGGCTTTTCCTTCAGTCACTATGCCCTAAAACTCTGGAACTCTCTCCCTCAATTCTTCCGCCTTGCCCCCTCCCTCCCCACCTTTAAATTGCACCTTAAGACCTTTTTTGATCATGTTTACGGTCAACCCCACCCTCCCTCTCCCCCTGGCTCGGGGTCAGACTCTGCCACTGTCAAGCGCTCTGGGACGCTACCTGGCATGAAGGGCGCTATATAAATGCAAGTTGTTGTTGCTCTGGATACTCAGATTAGGGTAACTAATCAGAACACGGGTTGTGATCAAAAAATAAGTCAAAAGGTTGTGGGTTTCGGGATTTTGAGCTCATAGTCAAGGCTGACACAAGCTGGGGAAGTTGTGCATTGTTGGAACTGCCGTCCTTCAAATGGGACGTTAAAAACGAGATCCGGTCTACCTGTTCAGGTGGACCTTAAAGAAAATAATATTAAGTAATTCTTGCATTTCATCTTCGAGACGTCTTAAAGCGCTTCACAGAATATACTGTAAAGACTGTGTATTGTGTGGGTGAAACGGGGCAGCCAATTGCGCATAGCAGTGTCCCACAAACAGTTGTGGATTGAGTGACCCAATTATTTTTTTTATGAAAAAGAGTGATTATCATTCCTGGAAAGTGAACCGTCAATCAATTAACAACCACGATCCTAATTACTGCTGGGTAAACAGAGCTGTGCGCGTGGAGTGAGGAAACTTGCCTAAGGTTTTGCTTGGCACCATTCAAAAAGGGAAGAAGGATAGTATAAATGAAACTAGGTTTTGTGTCATCATATGAGCTCAGTTACATTCCCTCCCCAGGCCAGAAATCACCAGGCCTGCTACGTGTTGTTGCTCTTTGGTAGTGACATGATACAATATTGTTATGTGTAAGACTGCGACCTATCTAATACGCTTCTAAAAATAGGCACACTTTCATATTTCGAATTAAGTTCAGAGACGGCTGTCACTCTTTCCATTCCAAGCATTTCACCACTGGGGTCCACAGCTCTGGGTTGCTCTTGGACAGACACAGACACACACACACACACTTTTGGGGGTGGGGGTGTGTGGAGAAGGGGAAGCAGGGCGTCCTTGAGGTAGAACTAGCTCTCAGGTACCAAACACGATGGAATATTGGAATTGAGACGTTTGTCCCAGTCGTCTGGTTCTTGAGGCAGTGGCTTTAATGTGCTCAATCAAGATGCGTCGTTTGTGGGTTTTAAAGTCTTTCTGTCTCCCTCTGGGCTTAAACCCAAACGGATTGGTGTAGATCCTGGGACAATATTCGAGTCGGACGCCGTTGTGCCCAATTGGCTGCCGCGTTTCGCCCACAAAAGTACACATACAGTCCATTCACTTTACAGTATTATTCTGGGCGAATTACACGGTCACTACACTTTAGTAATATAAACTGTGATAAGGCGCTGTGTCCAATGAAGTGATTCTATTGGCTCGTAAGTGAGTCGTGTTGTTACTGTTGCGGATTGCAACATGGTAAATGGGCGGGGCTTGAGTGATGTCAAGTGCGTCACGGGGAGGGGCGGGGCGGCAGCAGAGGACCGCGCAGACTGTGCGCGGTGACGTAAGGGGGAGCGAACGCGTCGCGCGGCTGTGCGCGGTGACGTGAGGGGGAGCGAACGCGTCGCGCGGCTGTGCGCGGTGACGTCCCGTGACGTGACGTGGCGGCGATGCGCTGCTGTGTTGATGGCGGCGGCGGCGGCGGCCGAAGGGCGGCGAGGAATCCGCTGAGCCGACATTTCGAGGCGGAGACACGACCTCCCGCGGCCGCCCCGGGAGCATGGTGCTAGGGCACAGGTGAGGGGATGAGCGGGAGGGCCCCCGTGGGGTCAGTGGAGGGCGGGAAACCTGCTGTCATGGCCGCTGCGCCTCGCCTCAAAGTTTGTGCGGCTGAGGGCCCTGGGGAGAGGCGCCAGGCTTCTTACCCTCTTCCTAGGCCTGGTCCTGTCCCCCCCCCCGCCGCCACCTCCACCCCTCTCTGCTCCGGAAAGGCCCAGGTTGTGGAGAAAGGCCTCAGGGTCGCCCTGTCCGCTAACGCCCCCGAATTCAATTCAAAGCGACCTGTTTTCGGGTTGAGATCCCCAGGGTAGGGCCGCGCTGGGGCCGGGGAGGAGGGAGGGGAGTGACAGGGGAATAGAAAGAAAGTGTCTGTGAAGGTGTTTATAGAGTCGGGGGAGGCTGGGGGTTCCCTGTCTGTCTGTCTGTCTGCACTGGGTTCAGTGTTGAATGTGAAGCTATGAAGCACTCCTCTGTTGGGCAACATAAATTGTGATTGTTATTTATTTATATACAGATATACTGTGTGTCTCCCCCTGAGCCCTGGTATATGTATGTATATATACATATATACACACACACACACAGTCGAACCTGACTTGAACAACCTCTCTGGGCCCTAAACCAAAGTGGCTCTTACTATAAAGATGGCCTCTGAGTAAGGGTTAATAATATAATAATAGTCCTTGCATTTGTTGTTGCGCCTTATCGCGTCTTCGAGATGTCTCGAAGCGCTTCACAAGATATACTGTAAAGGGTTGGCTGGTGTGTGTATGTACACGCGCTCTCTGTTCCCGGGTGGCTGCTGAATGGAGGTGGTTGTTTGTCTGTGCAGTTTTGACATAGTTGTCCTTTTAATAATGATTGCTGTTAGTTGCCTTTTGTTGAGAAACTTAACCTGCTGTAATGCAAGCATGTGTTGACCTAGGAAATGCAAAGTCATGACACATTACTACAAAATTCTGGCGCTTTAAGACGTCCTCCTAGTGTGAAAGGCGCTATCTCAAAGATTAATATTATTGTTGTTTACCTCCAAAATGCTCTTCTGAAATCTGATGCCTCAAACTCTGCAGGAAGTAGAGAGCGAGAACAATAGGGAAAATCACCATCCCCCTGAGTCCTGGTGTTTCCCCATTCTGCACAAGCGGGTTCTAGAATTTGTACAGAACTATGCCAATGGCTCTGGAATCAGGTATAACTTGGCTTTATGGCCAGTAGGTGACATGGTTGTTGATGAGATGATCTTAAACATATGTTAATAGTTCAAAAAAATCTGCCCAATTCTTAAATATGGAAATGATTAATATAAATTTTGTGAATTTACATCTTTTATTAAGGCTGCCACAGGAGGTAAATTTTAAATCTTTACTATTATCTTGGAGAGGGTTTGTACCACTCACTTGATCAGTGCTGAAAGCTTTTCAACTACATGTGGGTAAAGGATATTTGAGGATAAGGAGAAAGAGGGGACATCATCACCTCAAAATTACTTTTAAGAGCTTCATAGAGTTTTCAGCAAACTTTAATGTATTTGAAGGCAAACGTGGCAGCCAAATCGTGCCAGCAATATCCTGCAATCAGCCAAGCAGTGAATCACTAATTTCTTAAAATATATCTGAGGAATTGTTTGCCAGGACACCGAGAGCAATTCCCTTCTCATGGGATTTGGATGTTTCTTGGTGGAGCAAACCAATCAACAAAATTGGTCTGAATGGCCTCCATTCCATATATTTGCCATATATTTTCATGGTTTGGTGACTGCCCTTATATAACTTGGAATTGTGTTCCAAAGCTTCCAACACTGCATGGGGGATTCAGCATGTCTGCTGCGCTGTCAGAACTGGTGATACACCTGCGCATTGAAAGAAAGGGTATTATAAGGATGGGATTCTTAATTCTTACCAGATGGTGATGGTGTCACGTTATAGTTGTACTTTTATAGAATTGTTTTAAACAGGATTGGCTCTGATTTTTAGAAGCTATCTTTGATGTCTGTGGCAGATCTCATTGTGCTTTTGTGCATGAATGAAGCACCGATGTGAAGTGCTATTTTGTAGCAACAGATTTTCTCATTTTGAAGATTGTAAACGTTATAACGAACGTTTCGGCAAGTGTGCTGAGATAGGAAGCAGAGAGATAATTGATGTGGATTTTAAATAGCTCAAGGTCTCTTATTTCAGAATTAGATATTCAGAATTGCTGATCTCTGGTACGAATACAGCAAACAGTAATGTAACTGTCGATCTTTTTCTTGGAATGCGGACTGCAATCCTGCATTAAAGAGAATCTGATCAGTAGGATAAGGAAGGACAGGTCTGTCATTTGGACGATGACATGCCAAAATCTTTGTAAGACTTCACAGGTGGATATTATGAAGCCTACAAATAAGTGACGGATCGGGATTCAAAATACCTTTAGGGGAGATTTGGAGTTGTGTAACATATAACACACGATTAGGGATAAAATGTTGGTATATTGATGACGATGAAACCAAAATTAATCACTTACCTTGAATGGAACAAGTGATCTTCATTTCAGAGTACAATATGCACTTTGCAAATTCTGGTAATGTTTCAAATACCAATAATTACAGTGATTGCATTTCATTTTGAATGGAATGAAGGGGGCTGGTATGACATTAGATTGTTTAAATACTGTCCTTTAACCTCTTGACTCCGGGGTTCACATCCAGATTGATGGAATGAAAGTTACTGTCTCTGCCGACTGTATGCATCTGTGAAATGAATGTTTGCAATGTCAGTTCAGTTCTGAGTTTGCATGAATTCACAGTGAAAACAGCTATGAATATAGTACAAATCGATAATCTCACATAGGCCATGAGGCTGGCCGGAGTAGGAAATGGCTATACCGGTGCAGAAAACGTCCTTCACTGAGAAAGGGATTAAAAGACATTATTGTTGGAACTGGTTAAGGATCTTTACTTGTCATCTTACCTGTGGCCTACCTCATTTGTGGAATGTTTGGTGCTAACACTGTAAAATGTTTCGCCAACAAAAATGTACAGTCAATTCAACAACAATAAATTACATTTGTATAGTGCCTTTCACCTCAGGAGGACTTTACAGTATATTTTGTGAAGCGCTGTGAGACGTCTTGAAGATGTGATAGGGCGCTATATCAAATGCAAGGATTATTATTATAAATAGTTTATTCTCTACTTCTACATGTCTTGCCTTCTTAAGTGGGTGGGGTAAAAAATCTCCAACAGGAAACATTCCCCCCAAAAATTATAAATTCTGGTGATGCACACTTGCATAGTCTTGTAGTTGATAAAGTGAAAATCAATTGTAATCCTGTTATATTAGCACTCTTTAAGTTTATTTTTATTGATGCATTGAAAGCTTGCTGAGCTACAATTTCATTTTGGCGGACAAAAATCTCCAATGAGTGATGAAAGTCGTCTTCCGAGACTACTAAAATAATGTGTTCACTTGCAGTTGTTTAGATAAAATTTGAAGGATGAGTAGTTTTCAGTCATTACTTTAAATTGCTGCATCCAAATAATAATAATAATGTGGTCACGCAATCCAAGGCCGTTTATGGGACACTGCTGTACACAATTGACTGCCGCGTTTCTCCCATAAAATACAGCCAATTCACTTTACAGTGTATTCTGTGAAGCACTTTGAGACGTCTCGAAGACGTGATAAAGTGCTGTATCAAATACAAGGATTATTATTATCTCAAATGTATTCCATTAAGAAGACCTTAAACTCACTCACAATAGGTCTTCTAGAATAAAGTTTATAAGTTGAAAACTACCTTTCCATATTTTGAGTTAAGTTAATAATTGCACAGAACAAGCAGCCTTCGCTGTACTGTAACATTTGCCTCTGTTACGTTAGCTGCAAAGTATAGAGCACACGGTTCCCTGCAGCAGTATGCCAGGAGATGCATGCTGCTTCTCCTCTTTAAGATGGGTTTCCATAGGAATGCTTTGTAATTCCCCAGTGATTGCAGGAAGCGCATTGTGTGATCTGACTCTGAGCTTCACTGATCAGAAAGGACTCGTGTTCAGGCTTTCTAATGTGTGTTTTGTATTGATGTCAACAGAGGTATAGAATCATAGAATCGTACAGCACAAAAAGAGGCCATTCGGCCCATCGAGTCTGTGCCGGCTCTTTGAAAAGAGCATTGTAATGTCAATCCCACTCCCCAGCCCTTTCCCCATATCCCTGAAAATCCGTCCTCCTCAAACACCCGTCCACCGCGTTTTTAAAAGTTGTTATCGAATCGGCCTCAGAGAAGGAGCAGAAATGCCATCCACTTTTGAGTGCTATTGTTAGAAAATAAAATCAGCCATAATCCGTTTGCAACCAGATATCAGACTGTTTTATTATTATTCGTTCGTTATTCCCCAATATTCCGATGGGTCAGACCAAAGGCCGGTACAATCAGCAGATCTTATAACAGAATAATACCACCGTAGATATCTCGAGTTCAACACTGTGTCTTTACAACACACAAACTTGATTCTTCATGCTTTCAGTCTTCTTGCTTACAGCTTTCAATCTTCCATCTGATATCCTCAGTCTTAGTGTTTCTAGCACTAGTCTTCCATCTCCCGTATCCTTGTCTCCGCTCCCCGGGACAGCCCCATCTCCCTTTTCCTTGTCTCCGTGACCCGGGACGGCCCTATCTCCCTTATCGTTGTCTCCGTGACCCGAGACGGCCCCGTACACAAAGTTATCAGAACTCTTATACCGATGTTCGTCCAATCATGGTGCGGACATTAGATCACCCGGTCGAAATCATACTGGGTTCACGTGAACACCTCATAGGGTGTACGTGCCTCAGCTCTCATACACATTGTCCTTAAGACCCCTGTTATCTGATGCTTGTTATTTTGTAATAATGGGATGATTAGTACATTCCTTTTAAGTGACTGGTTATTTCTTATCAATATCCCGGGTCCTCTAGTTTAAGCAACTTGCCCGTTAGCTGCTATTCTTGAGGGTTGCCTTTTGTTGCTCTTGTTGAGTGTTAATCATGACTGTCAG